TGTGTGTGTGTGTGTGTGTGTGTGTGTGTGTGTGTGTGTGTGTGTGTAGAGAGAGAGAGAGACAGAGAGAGGACGGAGAGAGAGAGAGAGAGACAGAGGCAGAACCTGGGCCATCTGTCAGCCCTCAGATGGAGAGTCAACAGCCCCCAGGTCTGGAGGTGACTCATGAGGAAGAGGAGGAACAGCTGGGTCCAGTGCCTGACGCATGGATGCACAGAAGGCAGAGGAGAGGAGGGCAGTGGAAATCTATGGGCTGGCCCTTGGGACGAAAGAGCCACTGCTGCTAGTGAAGGGAATAAAAGGAACGGGGCGGAGATGAAGAGATGTGGCAGACAACTATTCATCTTCCGGCCAGACAGACTTGTTAGCCTGTGGAGAGAGGGAGGGACAGACTTTTTTTTCCGGGGCTGTTGGTGTTTCTAATAAAGGGGACATTTAGTTAATTACAGAGGGTTTGTCGTGTTTGGGAGCCAGGTCAGAACGCAGGTGCTTCTTGACTTAGGAACCATTTTGGCCATTCAAAATTATAGCAGCGTTGTAAAAAAAAAATGACTTGTGGCCGTTTTTTTCACACTTACGGCCATTGCAGCCTCCCAAAGGTCACACGATCAAAATTCAGATGCTCGGCAACCAGGTGATGCCGGTTGCAGCATCCCAGGGTTGCGTGATCACCACTTGCAAACCAGGGGTGGGATGCTACCGGTTTGGTCCGGTTCTATAGAACCGGTAGCTCCAAAGAGCAGCTGAAACCAAACCCCGGTTCGCTGCGACAACCTTTCTGGTCACAACGCACTCTCACCGAACCGGTTGTAGCACTGGGTGAATCCCACCCCTGTTGCAAACCATTGTACCAGTTTTGGGGTAAGGACCACCAATCTTGGGAACCGCCTGTCTCTTTTCTGCTGACAGTCAGATCAATGAAAGACCTCTTCGGTGTATATATGACTGTGGGCAGGGTTTGCAGTGGCTTCTTCCAGAGCTTCAGCAGGATAAATGTAGCCCCCGTGTGGGATGATAAATCAAAAAGCCTCGGTGATTTATGCAAATCGTCCAGAAATCCATTTGCCTTTTATGGTCTTAAGTGCAGGATTAGAGTTTGCAATTCAAGGCCAGTTCATCATTCACAAAGGCAACAGAAATCTAGTGATCTCAAACAGGGTGGGATAACTTTTCTCTGCTTGTTAAATCCTCTTTTATTTAAAAAAAGAAATGCTTTTATAAAACACTCATTGCTATCATCAACTTCAGGAGTGGAAAATTATTTGACAAGGTGGGAGGGGGGGGGAGAAAAAAAACCCCTTTCGAATCCTATCTCCTAATCCCATTTAGAGATAGACTGCATCTGACCATGGATGCACGTAGCATTTAGCAATCCATCCCCAGACAGACCCAACTCTATTTAAACTTTGTCTAAGTTTAATGTAAATTTTGTTCTTATTTAAACACACAAGTCGCCTTGGGAAGTTGAAATAAAGGGAATGGAAGTAAAATAATAGGAATCTTCCTTTTGAGGGCCTCCAGCTGCTCCGTGAAAACTTTCCTTTTTAGGAAGGAGTGGAACTTTTAGAGGCACGATTGAATCCTGCGAGTTCTTTGTGATTGATTGATATTTTTTTCCCCTCCTGCTTCCATCCCTCTTAACTTCATTTTGGTCTTATAGGTGGTTTCTTTTCTGTAATTAAGGGGATAGTTTTCCTCTTCCTGGATGAGTAAAATTGGAGGGACTCTCTTCCCAGCCAGGCTTAGCCCCTGACACGTTGGCCAATTATTTCTCTTTGCTGACTGCTGCTGTTTTGCCTTGGCTTCCTTTCGCTGGGACTTCCATTAGGATTCGGGGGGACGGGGGGACGGGACTGCCGGCTAGATTAGGCAAGCAAGATATAAGCAAATGAAACTAGAGGGGGTGAATGAAGCATAGTTCAGGTAAACTGAAGGGAGCCCCTAACAACATTGGATGCAGATAAGCACTTCTGTCTACTCTGATTATTATTATTATTTTTTGGCAGCTTGGTTTTTGGGAGGGGCTGCCAGAAAGATACGGTGAAGTTACTTCTGCCCTTTGCACGCTTAACACAAACCTTGAGGGCTTGTAATGTTATAAATCTTCCCCTTCACCTCTCCCTCCCTGAATCAATCCCACTTGTTCTAAGCCGCCCATCCCTTCCATTCTCAACCTGCCTTTTGTGACGGTTTGGATTCCCTCTCCCATCAGACCCACAAGTATGGAGTTTGTAGTCCAGCGGGCTAGAATTAACAGCCTGGCCTATGGGGATTGGAGGGGGGGAGGGGGCTGGTAGTTATGGAATACTCCCTACCCAGAGAGCTGCCCCCAATGGCTGTGCTAATAGGATAAGGATAAAGAAACAATTAATCCATGGAACAACCTGCCACCAGAAGTTGTGAATGCTCCAACTCTGGAAGTTTTTTAAAAAGATGTTGGATAACCCTTTGTTTGAAGTGGTATAGGGTTGGACTAGAAGACCTCCAAGGTCCCTTCCAACTCTCTATTCTATATGGATAAGGATAAGAGTAGATAGAGTAGAATAGAATAGAATAGAATAGAATAGAATAGAATAGAATAGAATAGAATAGAATAATAGACTAGTGTAGAGTAGAGTAGAGTAGAGTAGAGTAGAGTAGAGTAGAGTAGAATTCTTTATTGGCCATCATCATCAACAACCCTGGCAAAAGGAGAGTCATAGAAATTATAATTCTCCACCCCTCCCCTTCTTCTGCTCAGGTTTCTGGGTCATGAGGAAATTTCTCCAAAAGTTATGACGAGATTGCTCGGGTTGATCAGAGCAATTTCCTTTGTCCCCATTTCCAACCCGGTGGGATTATCACGGGGAAAATCCTACAAGCAGGGTACGATGGAGGTCTTGCCAATGTCAGATCTGCTGTCTTGGATAACAGAAGCTTGCTTTCCTGGTCTCCGAGCTTAACAGCCGCCTCAGCCCTTCCACCCCAGCTGAAACAACCCTCCGCATATTGGCAGAGTTGAATGTCATCAAACGAGAGACCTCAAAAACGTCACCCCCTCCAATCCCGCGTTGTGCTGAAAAGGCCCTTGTGGAAAACCACCGGGGCTCCGTTTGGCAGAACCGCTATCTTTTAGGAGGATTAGAAAAGTCTCGGGAATCCCCACCTTCCCTCGTCTCATCTGGGGAAACCCCGATCCCATGGGGGTCCCCCGTGGGAAAAGCAACTCCACCCAAATCCCCTGGATTTCCTCACTCCCTTACCTTGGCGTGTCCGTTCAATTCTTCACTGTTGGAAAGAGTGGTGTTGGAAAGAGTCTCCGTGTATTGGTTAGGCTCCTTCAGTTTCTTCCGCTCTTTCTTGGCCGCCGCCGCCAACAGCGGGAAATTCGGGAACTCTTGGCAGATCAGCATCGCCAGAACAAACCAACCCCAGTATCGTCTCCTCTCTTCCGGAGACCTCATCTTCAAGCAAGATGGAGGCAACCTTCTCAAGACGGAAATCAGGAATTGGATCAGACTTGGGATGCCGGCTTTGCCTTTCCTGGGTCTCTTCTGCAAACGGACTTTTCTCCTAGTCACCCCAAGCTAACCTCCTTTGCAAGCAACATGTAACCCTTGCCAGCAGTCTGGCCCGCTGAACGTCCACCATGCCAAAGCGACCCGCCGTTGAGAAGTCACTCCCCTTCGGCCAGCAGCTTCTTCAAAACAAAAAATTGGAGCTAACTGCCAGCTCAGAGGAGAAGGTCGACCGGCATTCCCCGTTTCATCTTCTTCTCCTTGGGCAAAAAAAATAAAGGAGTCAAAAGTTGCAGGCAGAGGCCCCTTCGAAACAGGGGCCTCAGGTGCAGGAGAAGGGAAGAGGGAATATCTGGGCTCCTGCTAGCCTTTTTGAGGTCCCACGTGCAGATATCTGAAGCTGTCCACTCAAATCTACCCAGAGATCGGAAATTTGGCAGAGTTGTTTACTTTACTGATGATTTAAAATAATAATACTAATAATAAAAAAATCACATTTCTGGATGTCCTAGATCTTAAAAGTCCACAATTTCCCACTGATCAAAAAATAAATAAATAAAAGCAAGACCGGAAAAAAACAACAACCAACACCTCTCAAATCCTTCCTGAATTTTTCTGCCACCTAAGAAACAAGCTGACATTCAACGCTTTCCCCTCCAAACCAGCTTTTCTCCTGAATTTTCTCTCTCTCTCTCCACCAGCCCCTAGAGCACATTCCCCCAAGGGGAATGTCCCACGGACCCCCTGTCTCTTGAGCTGAGCCTTTGGCAGGGCAGGTTCTCCAAAAACGGCCAGCTCCTTGCTTCCTTGCCTGGCAGCTGGAGGCTGGCAGAAACCTCCCCGGAGTTGCACCACCGGCCGTGAATAAATACAATTTTTGGTGGGAGAGTTTTGCATCAACTTGAAAGGAAGGGGAGTGAGAAAGAGGAGAAGGGAGGGCAATTTGTACGGAGAGGGAGGGGCCCGATCTAAAGAGCTGTTGAGGCTGGTCTTTTCGCATTCCTATTAAGGGGAGGCTGTCGGAGAAGAAGGCTCTTCTTCCCCCTGTGCCAAAGACGTTTAAATCAGAAAAATAACTTCTTTCCTTCTCTGTTTTTTAGCCCTTTGCAGGTCCTCTTTCCTTCCACCTCGCCTGTCTGTAGCCAAGGCAGCAGCAGGATTAGTGCCTGTTGGACTTGCCCACGATGGCTTCTCATTTTTTACAGGTGTTCCTGTTGCATTTACCTTTGAAAGGGTCAGAAAATGTCACGCAGCTCCTCCAGCTTTAATCCTCAGAAGGTCCCCCACCAACAAGGTAGGCTGGGCTGGCAAAAAGCCCCCCGGTGGGTTTCCCAGCCAAGGAAAATCTTGAACCTGGATGTCTGCAGTCTTAGGCCTTTCGCCCTAAGCCAAGGGTCTTCAAACTTGGCAAGTTGAAGAAATGTTGGGTTCAGTTTGGGGGTCGTAATTCGAGGGCTGTTGATCACACCTAGAAGCCACCCATCTCTCTCCCTCAACACTCAGATTGAATTCTCTGATCTGCTTAAGGTTGAGGCTTCCATTCATGTGCCATCCAAAATATGAGAGATGCTAATACCGTGCTATAAAGCCTTAGTAAGACCACACCTAGAGTACTGCATCCAGTTTTGGTCACCACACTATAAAAAAAGAGGTTGAGACTCTAGAAAGAGTGCAGAGAAGAGCAACCAGGAGGATGAGGGGACTGGAGGCTGAAACATACGATGGACGGTTGCAGGAACTGGGCCTGGCTAGTCTAGGGAAGAGAAGGACCAGGGGAGACAGGAGAGCAGTTTTATAATATTTGAGGGAGGGGCTGCCACAGAGAGGAGGAGGGGGTCAAGCTATTCTCCAAAGCACCCGAAGGCCGGACAAGGAATAATGGATGGAAACTGAACAAGGGGTGATTCAACCTGGAAATAAGAAGGAATTTTCTGACAATGAAATCAACCCATGGAACAGAAGTTGCCCTTGGAAGTTGTGGGAGCGCCATCACTTGAGACCTTCAAGAAGAGATTGGACTCCCATCTGTCAGAAATGGTGTAGGGTCCCCTGTTTGGGCAGTGGATTGGACTAGATGACCAATAAGGCCCCTTCCAACTCTGATTATCTGTTACCTAATTTATTCTCCCCCAAATGGACCAAACTTTGGAAGTTTGTTGCGCTGCTTTCGCTTAGAAAGCCAGGCCTAATCATACGAGATCCTCCACTGCAATGAAAGAACAAGTCAGAGGTTTGTAGACTTACATGTGTGTTAAAGGGCAGAGGAAAAAGAACATTAGGGTAAAATAAGTATCCAAAAATACTCTTTTGCTTGCCTGCTGCCAATCACTTGGCAGTCTATCACCTAGGCAACGCTGCAAACTTTCATCCTTAGAGAGGTAGCATGCCGACTTGTGCCTTTTAATTGTTTTATCAAGTCTTTAGTTAATTGGCTGCTTTTATCAACAAGATTGTTTAAGCTCCGGGTTTGCCATTAATTGCGTTTTGCTGTAAGTGGGCTGGTTTTAATTAGCATGTTGCATTTTTAAAAAATAATTGTAAAGATTTGTGTTCACGGGCGGACTTCGGGATTATTTAATTGTCTTTGAATCGGTTGCTTGCAACACCCGAGTGGAAAGTAGATCAGTTCAACAAGTAGATCGATCTGTTTCTTCCTTCCCAGTTGTATGCCCAGATCCCCATAAACCCCAGTGTTGAAATCTGTGATGACCCGGGGCGTGGCACAAAGGCAACACAGTCAGATAAGCCATAAGAGTCCCTCTATTATCTCCAACTTTGCCCCCAATGTCCAGGTTACCTTCTGGCTGGAGAAAAACTCTCCCAGGAACAGCCATTGACTGCAGAAAATTAAGTCTAAAACATGAGCAACACAAACTGTAACTTGCAGTCCAAACAAGCCAAACTGATTACTGTAGTTTGGCAGGGCAGGAGCAAGAATTTCAGACTTGAAGGCATGGCATAACTCACATGGTTGGGAAGATACCAGGAACACAGATAAGCCACGACAACACAGGATAAAGTCACGTTTGCTCCCAGCAACCTGCCGCATGCAGCCTGCCTTTCTTATCAACTGTCTTCCCAGTTGTGGCTAATGAAGGGAATCAGGGCCCTTTCCTTCCCCGTAAACCAGGCAACCCACGTTGCTCCCTTCTCCGTTCCTCCCTGCATGCCTTAGGATGAAGAGGGGATGGGCCTGGGTCTTCCTCTGAACTCCCTCTCCCTTGTTGTATCTCTCCCCTGCTCTGCCCAGCCAGACTTTGCCCCCTTCCCCAGCCTCCTCCATAGCCAACGGAGCCACACTCCCACTCCGTCAGCTGTTCGACTTCGTCCTCGGATTTCAGGATTTCATCTTCCATTCTGTCCAGGCCATTTTGGAAGATAGTTCCAAACTTCTTCCCAAGGCGAGAGGTTTTCCCCCTCGTGCAGAATAGAGTCATGGGGAGGAAATGCAAAATACGATGTCTTTATTTTTTTAAAAAAAAAGGTTTTCCCAATTGAAGAGGAGATTCTCTTTGGCACCCTACCCATGTTTGTGATGCCGTGTGCTCAAGCTGAAAGGGGCTTGGGGGGAGGGGGGGTGGAAATAAGCCAGGAAGGAGCGTGTGAGCAAAACAAGACAGGAGTGTATACTGCAACCACAAGAAAAGCTTGCCTTCGCCACGGTCTGCAGAACTGTCTGGCCTGCTGAGCTGCCATATGACAGATTGTCCTATTAACATGTCATCAGGTCCACACACACCCCCCGGACAGATTCGCAGCCTGTCTGCAGCTAACCCCAAACAGGGCTTGAAGCACAAGGAGACGCCAAAGCAAGTTAAATATTATTAACGAAGAATGGTTACCAGCATAGTTTTGCAAGGAATGCGAGGTAGTTTTTAAGGAGGGGGGGGGGGGAAGAGAAGGAAAAAAGATACCTTGCGAAGAGAGATGGGCTATTAACTATGTTGTAGTTCTGGGAAGGTTCTGCTTCTTAAGTGGTTACCGGGGTTATCGGTCGATGCGATCAGCATGGTTTTCAATTGACAGCTTGGTGTTTTAGCCCAGCCATTTGGATCGGTTGATAAGTTGGGAGATGTTCTTGGCCCTGCCTTCTCTCAGAATCGTTTCTTTAGACCAGGGGCCTTCCCACTTGACAGCTTTTTAAGACTTGTGGACTTCCAACTCTCAGAATTCCTCCTCCAGTCCACGTTAGCTCAGGGATTCTGGGAATTGCAAAGTCCCACGACTTGCCAAGCATCAAGACCCTTGCTTTATATTGATGTCTAGTCTCGGTAGGGAGGGGTCCCTATTAATCCTTAGGGGCCAGAACTACAGCAAAGTCTGGTTAGTAATTGGATAGGAAACCACCAGGAAATCCCCAAGTTGCATCCAGTCACTAATTGAGTTGGTGTATTGCTTTTCCTGTAAAGTTTTAACTTTCCTGGAAACGTGATTGGTTTCCCCTTGCATCCTTTCTTGGTTTTTTTTTTGTGGCAGCTTTCAAATTCTGGGCCTGCAGGATTAGGGCTTCTCAACGTGCTCCCCCCACCCTCTTAATTTACACCCAAGAAACAAGAGAGGATGTGTGACCAAGATTCGACTCAATTCATCCCCAATAAAACTTTAGAGCCAGAGAGCATGGCTTACTTGCCATTTGTCTAACAGTGTTGTAGCGACACCTGCTGGATAGCCTATTACATTACAGTTGAAATTACCTGTATCCAACGTATATTAGCCAGGTGAAGGCGGCATAGGGAAAGAAGCCATTGGCTTCTCTATATCTCAGGTTCGTTTGTTCGTCCTTTCTCTCTTATCGCAATCAAGTGGCAACCAGGCCTAAGAATCTAAGCCCATTAAAAAAAAAAAATCTAAGGCAGAAGCATCCGTGGTTGCATCAATGAGTGTGTGGTCCACAGCAGCTCCATTACAAAGGACCTTCTCAGTTAGAGGTCCTTCATGAAAAAGGTACTTCACCCAGTGTAGCTTCTTGGCAGCAATAGAAAGTGGGTTGTCCCTGCTTTCTCCTGGCATCTGTTTCAACTTCCAAGTGTGGCCTACTACACTTCTACTAGGAGTCTAAAAGATTCTTCCTCCAAACACTGAGCTGGTTCAAGCATGCTTTGCTTCAAGGTCAGCAGATATTCCAACCTGCCCCAAAGGAGTGGACCTCTGCTATTACTTGTCCCCAGAACCCCATACTTGGAAGCTTCTGGACATAATCTTTCCATCTCTGTTGATCATGCTAAATAATACCCATTCCACCCAAATGATTCCCTTTATTTTGCTTGCAACTTGTTGCAAACAGTAGAAATTCTGTTTGGTCCCAATTCCCCCCCCCCCTCTACAATCTCTATAACGGTTGCCTAAATAAATATTTCACTCCGCTCCAATAGGCCCAAATGGTTCTCTGACTGAGGCACTAGATATGTCCAATTTAGAGCGGGTATATCCAATTTTAAGACCTACGGACTTCCGACTCCCAGAAATCCTTAGCCAGCATGGATTTCTGGGAGTTGAAGTCCGCAGATCTTAAAAGTTGCCACGGTTGGACATCCCTGTACTAGAGGATTCTTCTGCAATTGACCAACCAAATATTGTTGGGATTTTTTTAAAAAAAATGTTTCTCGCCTGGCTTAGAACCCATACGACGTTCTCTCCCCCCACACTCACATACGCAACAGAAAAAAATTCTGCTCTTTTGAAGGTGCTACAGAAAGCATACGTCTAAAAATTCCACTTTGGCCATCGGCAATCTATTAAGCCGATTTAAGCTAGAACTTTCAGATGGAAGTCAAACCTGCGGATGAACTCCCATCAATAGCAGCTGGCACAGCCACCCCACGCAATCGAGCACAAGTCTGAACTCAAGACAGCGATTTATTCAACGAACTACGGTTAAACAAACCCAAGCTTAGCTCCATTTGTGAACCAAGTCACGTGTCACCTGAACAGGCCTCTTTGCCACCCCTTTAAGGTACTAAAGAATGTGACCTAGGCTGCCGTCGCTGCGGCTTCCTTTTTTTTTTTTTTTTTCAAGTAGAAAGAAATGCCTTTGCACGAATATGTACATTTAAGATCTCGTGACAACTGCGGGTGCAAAGCATGGGACAGAAGGCGAAGAAGAAGAAGAAGAAGAAAAAAAACCAACAACAAAATTTCAACAAAAGAGGGAGACGGGGAGAACGTCACACAATCCCTGAAGTATTTCTAAAAATGGAAATACATATTTTAAATTAGTCTCCCCAACCGAGTACCCTTCTCCAATTTGTCCTTGAACCCTGTTGCCCAGGGATGACGGGAGATGTAACCCACAACAGCGTCTGGCATATTTGAGACGGCTTTCTTAAAATTATTTTCAATCGTGGTCATCTCTCTCCACCCCCCCTCCCCTATTCATACGCTGACAATAAGATTTATTTTAACAAACGTCTGTTTCACTGATAGAGCTACTGGGAGAATTACAACTAAACCACACCTACTGCCAGAGAAATTGGTTGAAAGCAGATTAATTCATCCTTCGTCTAAGTTAAACAGCTTAGGGATTTAATTCATCCTTTCTAGATGCCTTTCCCCAGTCGATACTCCATTATCGTTCCGTAAAGTCAAACTTTTCCAATTCGTTTTGTGTATGGGTTCCAGGGGGAGGAGAAAAAGGAAGCTATACAAAAATTGGAATAAAACCAATAACTCAGACCTTAACGGAAAGCAGAAATCACATCTTTAAAATACCTTCGAACCAAAGGAAAGCTTTAAAAGACGTTTTTAGCAGTACAGGGCTCTGTCAACCTTGGCAATATCGGTGGAAGGAGGGCTGATAAAACCAGGCTAAATGGGTCGGGCTTAGCGGTCTCTCTTTTTTTCTTGTCTTTTTTGGCTATGGGGAGATATATGCATCAGTAACCCCAAGCCGGCCAGATAAGCTGGATGGACAGGACCATTCTACTAATTCCAGAAGCATAACTCTGGGGTTTCTTTGCCTGTCCCAGAATGAGGAATGTTAAAAGGTCCAGCTTATTTGAGAATAAATCGGGGTCTTTCTCTCCCCCCACCCAACATTATCTGTTTAACTTCTCCCGTAAAGCATGTAAAATTTTGAGTGACTCCTGCTTCAGAAAGATACCTTCAACTGGAGCAAAAGAAAGCCTACAACTAATGCAGACAACAGGCCAAAGCCCTGGGTGTGTGTGTGTGTGGGGGGGTGTTGTCGTCAAACCTAGAAGGAATTTATGGAAAAATTCCTTCCCCCATCACCCATCTGGGCTTAGCTCTTTCATTTCCCTTCTCTTGATAGCAGCAAAACCTGGAGATGAATTGACAAAACATAACATGATTGCAAACCCCAAGTCATCAAACGGGGTCCTTTTGGGGGAAGAAAAAAAAAAAAAGAACACAGAACACCAAACTTTTAAACTTTTTTTTTTTTTTAAATGCTCGTCAAAAAGGTCCAGGAGAGAGCTGGTTAGACCTGGCCGTTCAATTCTCACGTCTCTCTCTCTCTCTCTTTAAGGAGCAATTGGGCAAGTTTTTATGGGGCCAGAATTTGGGGATGAGTTTGGGCTCGACTTTAAAAAGAACTCTTGAAGTTCACTCTCCCGCATTGCCAGCTTCTTATGAGAAAATGCTTCCTTGAGGATCTAGTGTTCACACAAACACCTGCTCGCACTGGGAACCTGTTCGGCAGCAGACACCAACAACACGTCAAGCGAGGAGATCTAAGTGGGGGGAAATCTTAAGGAAACGAGAGCTCCCCTTCCTCAGCTACCAACCCGTATTAAAACAGGCAAGGGTTGCCCATGTTCTCCCACCCTATCTTCTTCTTCTCGCCCCAAACCCCACGTTGCCTTTAAAGTGGATGCTTCCGCCCACGTTCTCAAAAGCTCCGAGATTGTTAGAACGGATTCAGACACTGCACCGGAAAAGAAAAAAGAAAAAAAAGGAAAAGAAACATGGGGATTTTTTGTAGGCCGGTCAATTTAGATCCTACAATTTGTTTGCCTGTTTTCAGAAAGCGTTTTTTTTTTCTTTTTTCTTCTTTTCTTGGGAGACAGCGTATTTGTCCTCTTCCTTGCTCCATCCCATCCCATCCTTTTCAATCCCAAACAGGGTTTCCCCTCCCCTCCGACGAAACCAATTCCATGGGCCAAACCAGTAAGTTTAAAAAAAAAAAAAAGGGGGGGGGAGAAACCCTGTACACATCACAGCAGTTAAGCCCACAGTCGGGAGTACGAGACCCACAGAGTCCCAAATGTTTTTGTTTCCTTTTGTTTCCTTCCTGCCACTCCTGTTACTTTGGTCTCAGAATCCAGACTTGGGAGGAAGGAAGAAAGAACTCCAGAGCGTCTCATTCCTGCGCGATGCTCCTCAAGACGTACTTCACTGTGTAGGCGAAGGCCGCGAAGCCCACTATAACGAACAAGTTCGCCAAAGCTCCACCCAGGAGTCCGTGGTGGCGGTTAGCTTGCTGGAGGCCAAGGGGGTTGTTGGCCGCCGCCAAAGGCGGGTGCCCGTTAAGAACCGGCAGGCCGTTCTGCCCGTGATGAGCTTCCCCATCGGGGATGACATCTGGAAGTGGGAGAGCCGTTGGCCGGCTGTGGAGGTCCTCTCGGGCCTTCTGTTTCTGCTTGATTTCCTGAGAAAGGCAGGAGGGGGGGGGGGGGGGAGAGAGAGAGAGCAGGGAGGGATCAAATATCAGACCTAAAATGGACCCCTAACATCAAAAGCATCATCAAAAAAGCACAACAAAGAAGGTTCTTTCTGCACCAGCTCGGGAAGCTCAAACTGCCCAAGGAGCTGCTGATCCAGTTCTACAGAGGAATGATGGAGTTTGTCATCTGCACCTCTATAACTGTCTGGTTTGGTTCTGCAACCCAACAGGACAGACCCAGACTCCAGAGAGTAACTAGGTGACTGAAGTTTCTGCTGGGTTAAAATCTAACTGGAGAGCATGATTGATGACTCTTGGCTACGGATGCATCCCATTGGAGAATATGAATTACGATACACCCAGGGGGCGTGGAGGGAAAAACAGGGTCAAGGGTGACAATGAATGATGTGTCTCAGAGTCGGCTGCACCCAGGCAGTGCCGGACATGTTAACTCCCAATAAATCCTTTTGAGGTTTTGGAAGTTTGGCTCGAGACTCACGATTTTAAATGGTCAAGAGCCTTGAGGCCCTTTCACAAGGAAGCCTGGATCCCTAAGCGAAGCAAATATTGCCCTGGACTGTGGACATCTCCAAATCAAACAAATGACCGGGTATAATTTTTAAAAAAATGGAAATATTGCCCAAGGAAAAAAAAAGACTAGCCCGTCACTCACCTCCACCATGTCGGGAAACAATTCACAAAAGACTTTGTCTTTTACGTTAAATTCTAAACTCTGCGAAGCCAGTTGCCTCTTCTGACGGAGCAAGAAGAGAAGAGGGGAAGGAAGAAAAAAAAAGAGTCAGTCTTGGAACTACCCTTTGAATGGGAAAGAAACCCACATCTCCCTCTGGATTCCTTCACGGCTGATTTTTTTTCATCAGCAGCGACCCAATGGCAGCCGGCAACGGAGGCTCACTCACCGTAAATTCTGTTGTTTCTATACTGCCCAGAGTGGGCCCTTTTTCAACCATAAAACTAAGAAGGCCCGTCAAGATTGTGGAGACTGACCAAGCTGGGTTCCACGTGTCGGGGTGGAAATCAGTAATGGAAAGACACAACCTACAGGGGGTGGGGGGAAAAAAGCAGAAAGACCGAAGCTCCGTCACAGCAGAGAATCACAAGACCCCCTGGGGCATGCAACCATCATAAATACGAAGCCAGCTGCCAAGCGCCTGAATTTGGATCCCGCGACCACAGGGATGCTGCAAAAGCCGTAACTCTGAACAGCAGCCGTAAGTCACTCTTTCCAGTACCGTTGGAACTTTGAACTGTCACTAAAGGAACTGTTGTAAGTCGAGGACTACCTGTGCACTTCCCGGCACAATCTCCCAGAGCCTGATGGAAGGGATATCAGAGAGGAAAACAAAAGAGTTTTTGTGGCACAAGGACGTAAAGGCCAACGTAGAGGTAGTTCTTGACTTACAGCTGTTCGTTTAGTGACTGTTTGAAGTTACACAATGGTAATGGAAAGTAGTGACTTATGATCGGTTTTCACATGTACAAATGCTGCGGCACCCCCAGTCCCATGATCAAAATTCAACAAAATAGGTCGTAAAATGGAGGAAAAACTCAACTTAGCAGCTGCCTAGCTTAGCAAAGGAAATTCAGGCGAATCAATTGTGGGTTGTACTTTGAGGACTACCTATATCCAAGACAACTGAGAATACGCAGGGCGGAAGCAACCACGTTCAAAGCGAAGATGCTGGTTTGCTTCAGAAACATGGTACCACGAGATCAAGTCTATCCAATGTGAAATATTTCTCAATATCCTTAACAGCAAGAGATGCTTTCAAATCATCGGCCAAGGGGGGAAAAAAACCCCAGGAAATAATTAAGCAAATCATCTTACCTTGTATTGCATTTAAATCTTCCATTTGGTGTAATCATATAAATACTAGGAGGTTTAAAAGGAAATTCTCTGGGGAAAATTAACTTCCCATGGTAGTAGCCACCTGAAAGAGGAATAGCGGGAAAAGACAACGGTTTTTTAAATTTCACACCAAACCATGTTGTCCAAAAAAGTTAATGAGCAGAGTTTAAGAAGAGAGCGCCTGGATTTTAACTGCGGGGCCCTTTTTGTTACAAGCCACTCGATGAAAAGGAGAAAGTCCTCTGAAATATGCAGATGAGATTAAAAACAAGTCTTGCTTGATGAATTACTCCGGCCATCTCCTTTATCCTCCTACGATGCCCGCGCTTCTAGATACCAGCCCTTCCCCTTTTTTATTTTCTCAACAAGCACCTGAACCTCACCTGGCATCTAAGAAACATTCCTGGCCATAAATTTTGGAAGTGAAAACAGCCCTAGAACTCTGTTCTAAAGCAAGACTAAAACACATAAAGGAGGTCTGTGTTTAGGGTGAGTTTACTCCGATGCCAAGCTACAATTTACCTTCATAGGGTGTCATTTCAGGTCCTCGTACAACATAATGCCTGCAACAACAAAACAAAAAGTACAATGACACAAGTCATGTTTTGAAGCAGAGGTGAGGAACACCTCTGTCCTTTCAAAAGACCCCCCAGATGGAACTCTGCTCTGCTGTACCCAGGGTCCGGTAATAAGGTTTGGTTATACCACAGCCTTGTTTCTAAATTTCGGTATCATTTCTGACGGCCGTTTTCTCGCGTCTGCTACCTGGTTTCTTCTTGCAGATTTGTCTCCCTGTTAGTGGACGTGGGAGTTTTATCACAGGAAGGAAGAGATGTTTTTGTTTTTCAAAAGGCACAGGTAAATAATAGACCAGCTTCCAATAGTGTGAAAAAATACAAAGTGGCTGGTGAGACTTTTGGGAAAAGTGAGCCGGATCAATAATTTTAGCCTCTGAGAGGCTAAAACTCAATTTCACTCAGGGCTGTATCAGGGCTGGGGTTGACCTTGCGGGGCTGGGTGGGTGTGGCCAATGTGGTAGGCGTGGCCCACTTGACGCCACTCCCCAAACTGCTGGCATGTTTACTTCACATTGGGTAGACTAGGACGATCCCATGGGCCTTGAATCTGACAACCCTGCTCTAGAGAATCTTAAGGAGGTCCAGCCTCTGTCGCCGTTCAGGCTCGGCCCCTCTCTCCCATTCTTACCACTCAAGGATATTGGATGGCAAAGGCTCAGCACAAATATAAGGCACTGGATCTTTTTTGATGCGCAGGTAGTCCTGTTTGAGTCGCTGGGTGGCCGTGGTGGGGGCGCGCTTGTTGCTGGAGTTGCTCATCTGAAGGAAAGAGAGGGGAAGCGCATAAGGAACAACCAAGCCAAAGGATTTTTTAGCGCCACAAGGTCAAGAGAAGCCTCAAAGCGTTTAAGGGGATAAACAAAAAAAAAAAAAAAGGTATAATTGCTCTCTTCCATCTCCACTGCCACCATTCCAATTTTTGCTTAACACCGCCAGGCTGAGTTTTCAAAACTGCACAGGCCTCTGCCTCCACCTTCACACAACCTACTAGAGACGTTTGCTTGGATTGTCAATAACTCCATGGACCCCTCTAGGGTAGAACCTCTTTCAAAGCAGGAACTGGATCGGTGTCACCACTAAGATCAGGAGGCACTCAAGCATCCGTAAGACAGCTCCAAGGGTGAAGAACGCAAGCACCACCCACTCTGAAATCCTCTTTTGAGCCTGGCGGTCCCAACGGCATCTTGGGGTGATGTACCAGCTTGGGAAAGAAAGCAAAGGCTGGACAGCCACCAGAAGCAACCCAGGACTGCAATGCACTTGTCTTTTATTGGCAAAAGAGCCAGCCAGGAAAGCGTTTCTAAGCCAAATCAAGTCCACTTCTTTTAACGTTTGCAGAGGGATGGGGAACAGGCTTCACATGTTCCGATGAAAGACTGTACAGCTAAGGGACCAAAGTCTGATCAAAGCAATCTTAGGGTTTAAAAAAAAAATACGCAAAGGGACAGAGGGAAAATTCACCTTTCTAAACTTTCTGCTGGAATAACTGTTGTAAGCTGGGAAACTCTTTAAAACGGCCTCATGTGAGAGTTGACAGTGCTAACCCAATCAGGGCAACAGTCATAAGAATCATTTCCTTCTAACCACGGTAATAGTCATAAAAATAATTTCCTCCCCTCATCCAGAAGCCCCTTAAAGGCGACATGAGAGCATCCTACCGTCCTTATTTGGATAAAGCCCCCAAGTCCCTTCCAGTTTAAACCCACTGACCTCTTCTTCATCACTCTCTTTAAGGCTTGCAAACTGGATCCAAATATCATTTCAATTGGCCCCAAATTTGTTCGACTCCCACTTTTGCCTTGATCAATTCCTCTGCTCCAAAGTACCACCGACCCCAAGCAGCACCCAAATACCACAGCCTGCCTATCTCCTCCAGGAATCCCTTCCAGAATTACCAGGTAAAGAAACGTCATCACCTGGTTGACTAAGGATGATGGAAGGCAGAATCCAGTTCACCTCACCAGCTCCTCGCTCAGGTGTAGCTGAATCATAAACACAAATACTGAATATCTGGAGGAGGTCACCAGAGAGATGGGCTAGACTCTAGGAAGCAGAGGCACAAATCAAACAGTCCCAAAGGACTGTTGTGGGAAAAAAAGAAGAAACACTCTACCGTGCTTAGATACAAACACACCCTAAATTTTAAAAAAAAATGTATTAATTTTCTTCCCTGGCACAAAAAGCCTGCCAGTTTAATTTCCAAAAACGAGATTTTTGGAATGTTAGTGGTGGAGAAGCTTTCCTCAAAAGAAAAGAAAAAGGCTTCCTTGTTACATAGAGGCTTGGCTTAATTCCACAAGGTCACTTTCTGTGTGAGAAATGGGAGAATTCTTCAGAAAAGGGCCTATTGTGTTTTGCAAGGAAATAATTTGGGATTACTCCATCCTGCTGGCAGGCTTAGTTAATCTGAGGCACCCCGGCAGAAGTTGTTTATCTTCCTCCCTACTTCTTTCTGTAGTTGTCTGCTACTGGTCTGGTCTAAACAAGGAAGTCATGAGAGTCTCGTAACAGAATACCAGAGTTGGAAGGGACCTTGGAGGTCTTCTAGTCCAACCCGCCCCCACCCCAAGCGGGAGACCCTACACCTTTTCTGACAAATGGCAGTCCAGTCTCTTCTTGAAGGTCTCAAGTGATGGCGCTACAGCTGTTTCATTGGTTGATTGTTCCCACTGTCAGAAAGTTTCTCCTTATTTCCAGGTTAAACCTTAAGAGATAATTCAGCCAATAAGCCACAATAGCTGAGCTAAGCCACTACTAAAGCAAAACTTCCAGTTTAGCACAATAGATAAAAAGCCAAAAACCATCCAGTTTCTTTCTGTCTGCTTTTGCTAAGTCCCCCCCCACTCCACACCAAATAGTTTTATAACAGCCAACTCCCAAAAGTCCCATCTGCTTGCTGCCGGGAATGATGGGGAGGGGAGTTAATCATCAGCCTATCTCAAAAGCATAGATGTATCCAGGGTTGAGGGTGGGCGCGCGTTATTGTCCTTGGCTAACCACCCAGGAGCCGTTTGATGTACACACGTGTTCGGCTTCCACCCGGCTGCATTCACACGACCTGCTTCCAGGCTTCATCCCTATTCTAAACTGATCTCCGGCGCGCGCGCACACACACCCTTCCCCGCCAAAGGAGAGCGAGTAAAGGGTCAAAGGTGCCCCCTTGCCAGGGCACCCAAGCTGTGCCCGATGGGAAGCCAGCAGCACCATAGGCTGTGCCCGATGGGAAGCCAGCAGCACCCTGGGGCCGGAGTCCGGCACTCCAATAACAAAAGAGCCTCCGGCTCCCGAGTCCTTACCGCTCTTCGCTAGGCTCCGATCCTCTTGCTCGGGGCGGGGGAAGGGGGAGGAGGGCAGCCGGGCGCCGGAGTCAGCTTCTCAACCCGGCGGCACCTCAGTCTCCTTCAGACGCGGCTGCCCAGCTCCGGCCACCGCGACCCTCCAAGATGGCTGCCCAGGGCAGGCCCAACTAAAGGCCGGCTTCCCTGCTTTCTCGCCACTTCCGGTTCCGGCGAGAAGGTGGGCACTTCCAGTGAGGCCTGACATCCATGACGAGGGGGTGGGAGGGAAGAAAGGTTTTAAGGGCGGGTTGCCATAGAGCTCCGGCGGAGGGCCGGGCTAGCTAGAGCGACGCCTCAAGCCCCCGTGACGTATGTTGTCGTCTAGTAGTCGGGATGAATGAGCGGCTCGGCTTTTTTTTTTTTTTCCAGGGCGGAGCTCCGATCTTACCCACATCGTTGGGAGTGCGCGTGCGCGGGGACGCTCACGACGCTTTGGTCCTCTTTTTTTTTTTCCCGCCCGTGGCTGGCCCGTTGCCGTGGAAACCGCAGGAGGATGCGCTCGGGATGAAGCGAGTGGCGTCCCCTCAGCGCCAGGCAATGGAGGAACGCAAAGCTTCACCCTCCGCTCCCATACGGGTTCCCAGCCTCAGAAGTCGAGAACAAACTATATATTTAATACCTAGCATTTGTGCCAATAAGTAGCAATGAAGCTTTTCGACTGTCCACACCCAGAAAATATGGAAAGTGACCCAACAACCTACCAATTTTACTTGAAGGTGCCTGTGGTGCCTCACAGAACATGTTTTTCAAACTTTTTCTTTTAACTGTAGTTAACAGGTAACGGAATAATGTAACTCCATAATGCATAGAAAGAAGAAAAGTTTTCAATAGAACGTAGAAAACGTACGTAGAGAGTATTACCTTGAAGGGGGTCTGTTATAGTTTAGATGGGGGCTTATAAAGTATATAAAGTAAAAAGATATGTGTATGGGGGGGAGTTAGAACATGCCCAGTCATGATTGCAGGAACATGTAAATCTAATAAAGTTATGCAGGTCATTACATTATTTATATATGTAATTCTAATTTTATATATATAATTTTATTAGATTTACATATATAAATAATATAATGACCTGCATTTAAATATGCTAGTGATGTAGATGTTTACCCAATGCATCGTAAAGCTGCAGTTTTCAAAGGCTTCTACAGAGAAGAAACACAATCCGAACTTGAGTGCAGAAAATACAACTTCAGCAATAGTTGTCAACGCTTGGAATGCACTACCTGATTCTGGTCTCTTCCCCCAACCCCCCAAAACTTTAATCTTAGACTGTCTACTGTTGACCTCATCCCTTTCCTAAGAGGTCTTTAAGAGCACCAACATGCCTACCGTCCCTGTCCTAATGTCCCCTTTTATTCGTACCCATTTCATGTACTCGTAATCATGTTCCTAATTATATCTGTTATCTAAAACATGCTTGACAAAACAAATACATAAATAAATTTAAAAGGGGGGCTATACAGTATTTTGGCCTCAGAGCCAGGAAAAAAGAAAGGTTTCTGTAAGAAAAAGAGAAAAATATTCTAAAGAGCAAATTAATAGGTAGGATATTTGGGGCATGAAAAGGAATGTTAAAAACTGATTATTAAAGAGTTTTTATTCTTTTTTGGAAAGAAGGAAGGAATTCTACATTACGTTTTCTTCTGACAATTTCAGCCTTTCAAGGAAGACTAAGGCAAGAAACAGACATAGCAGGGATTCCAGGAATGTTCTTTTTTTATAATAAGTTGGCATAAAGTTCCTTGAAAACCTGTCCATCTTTCTATTCCATCCTATACGGGTGGTCACTGACTTACAGCCATTCGTTTAGTGACTGTTCAAAGTTATGATGGCACTGAAAAAAGTGACTTTAGGATGGTTTTTCATACTTTGGATGGTTGCAGCATCATGGTTACGTGATTAAAATTTGTTACCCTATGGTAGCAATTAGCTTGGGCAATGAGCCTTTCCCTCCCTTCCCACTTATCTGCTAACCTACCTACCTACTTTTCTACTACAAAAAGCCTGTTTAGTTGCATTGGCCTAATATGAGAATCATCTGTCAGGATAAAAAGGCATCCATCAAACTCAGGGTAGCTTAGTGAACACGCCTTATTTCTCACCACTATCCAGCTCACCCCTTGGGATAGCTAATGCTGCTTGACAGGTTACAATCATTTCTCTGGTATTTTAATTCTGCCATTAAGTGATCCCATGTGCATTACTAGGGCAGCCAGGGCTCATTTTAAAAAAAGATTTCAACACGTCTTTGTTTTCTCCTGCCTGCAGATTAATCAAACTATAGGATCAGGCATCGCTCCTCTTCCCCAAAGGAAGGCCGAAACTCTCCAGATCTGCCGAGCCATTTTGAGGATGGACGCACTTCTCCAAGGCACAAAAGGACCTGGGATCTTGTCCTTTTCTTCTTCAGGGATCCATTCCAGGTGCAGAGTTTTGCCCACTCAGCTGACATGGAGTCAAAACTGAAGGTAAGCAAAATATCATTATAATTAAACTGAGGTAAATTATCTTTCAGTTTGAGCTCAACTCCTGAGGAATTACAATTGTGACTTTATCTAAATGTTGGTTCTTTATGCTGAAAAGAATCAGCCCGCAGCAAAATGGCCTTTCAGATTTTGCTCCAATTAAATTTTTAATCAAAACATTTAAATAAATTAAATATAAACTAAATATCTGTCGACTGGGTGACACCCTCACAGATATTTCCAGTCGCCACATCCCAAATCTTTTCCAGTCAAACAAGTGCACGAAGAAGTCATTAGCTGCTGTTCCACTGAAAGAAATGGGAAGCAAAGCTAAGAGAACTGATGTTACTAGATGAGGTGGCACAATTCCTCACCCCACCATCTTGGGTTGCTGAAGGATGTAATGCAGTTCTGTTGTTTTGTTTTCTGCTCAGCGTTTCAGCATTGGTGTATTCCTAGGCATGGTGGAAAATGCAGGAGAATAAGACCTGAAAGGTGCTTTTTCAAAAGGCCAACTGAACTTTGCTTTTGTTTAAAGACGTTTCGCTTCTCATCCAAGAAGCTTCTTTGAGGAGAAGTGAAACATTTTCAAGGAAAAAAAAAGTTCAGTTGCCTTTTGAAGAAGCACCTTTGGGACAACCATCACCTGGATGATGGAGAATCTCCATAGGCAAGGAGAATAATCACTCTGGCTCTGGCTCATTTGAGTTACTGGGTTTTTTTGTCCAATTGCACCAAGTGGGAGTTGCATGTGCTGCCACTGATACTGTGAAAACTTCCCTCACTGAGTGAGCTGGAGAGCTCTTGTTTTTCTGGTAGTTGTCTCAACAGGCCCTTTTCAAGGTAATTTTTGGGCAGGGCCTTAGTATAAATCCTGAAACTGCCAATCCTGAATTTAAGTTGTTTAATTGCTGAAAGAAAGAGGAAAGGTGGTTAGCGCTAGGAAGCACACGAATCATGATTAGCTCCAAAGTATCAAACAATACAGGTAATTCTCAACTTACAGCTATTCACTTATTGACCATTTTCAACACTGAAAAAGGTGATTTACGGCTGCTTTTCACACTTACGACCACTGCAAAATCCCCACGTCCATGTGATCAGTATTCAAACACTTGGAAATTGGCTCATATTTATGACGTCTGCAGTGTCCTGGGGTCAAGTGATCCCCTTTTGCAACTATGACAAGCAAAAGTCCACGGAGAAGCCAAATTCACTTCGTAATTAATTTAACAACTGCAGTGATTCACTTAACAACTATGGCAAGGAAGGTCATAAAATGGGGCAAAATTCACTTAACAAATGTCTCGCCTAGCAACAGGAATTTTGGACTCCATTATGGTCATAAGTTGAGGACTGCCGGTATACCTTTGTTCTTTTAGAGAGAGCACCAGGTTTATTTTGAAGCGCTCATGAATTAAATAGGTCAATTTAACTTTCAAAAACTGTCATAATCTCCCAGCCTGTTGCCCTTCAAAGATATCATAATATCCTAAATTCTCAGTCTGTAATGGCCATAGGATGAATTGCTAAGCGTTTGTCCTTTTTTCCTTTTTTTTGCTAAATATACAATTAGGTATTACAACTATTGATTTTTTAGCTTAAAAACAAATCCGTTCTAATGATAACCAGTAGTTTGGTTTAATCCCAAAATGGCTGAACCATTTAGCAGAACTCAAATAATTAATTACAAAATTCAGACTGGGAAAAAAAAGTATATCCTTTGTAGCCATTACACTCTAATGTCATGAAGGAGGGGAACTCAGGCTGTTGAAGTTCCACTGCCATTGGCAGTGCAGATTTATTTTACAAGTATTCCTCCATTTACAACCATAATTAAAAAAAGACACTTATATGATGCCGTAAATGGCCATAAAGGTGAACTGATTGCCAAGCGTCCAAAATGTGATCACATGACTGTGGTGTGTGTGTGTGTGTGTGTGTGTGTGTGTCCATTGGAATTTCAAAATCATGTCATAAATACTTTTGGAGGAGGTCCATCCTAACTTCAGAAGGTCACTAAGCAACCAGTCATAAGTTGAGGACTACCTGTATCTATTTATGACTGTATTTCTATATACAATGTATTTAGGATCTGCATTTCTGGGCTGGCAGTTCTACCAGGTATCCTCTTTTGGGTATTAACACAGACCATGACCAAAGGCATATTTCCAACAGTGGAAGTTTTTAAGAAGAGATTGTATCACCATTTGTCTGAAGCGGTATAGGGTTTCCTGCCTAAGCAGGAGGTTGGACTAGAAGACCTCCAAGGTCCCTTCCAACTCTGTTATTCTATCCTATTCCTATTCCATTCCATTCTATTCTAGCTCGATACCTGTGCTTTGCGATGAAACTGAAACTCCTCTCCTCTGCTTGTGTTTTGCATCAGGAACAGATTTTTCAGGTGGGGAGGGGGAGTAGAACTCCTTAGCATCGGAGCATGTTAATAACAATAATATAGGAAATACAAATGCTCTGATGGTCATTTTGAAAAATCCTTTCTTAGTGAACAACTAGAAGCCAAGAGGAACATATGTGCCAAATTTCAAGTTTGTAGGCTTTATGGTTCTGGAGATTTTGTGATGATGCATGAGTGGTCTTTCGCTTTTATACAGAGAGATTTTTTTTCTTGCTGGGGAGATCATGGCAATGGGATAATATGTTA